AGATTGTTGCATGCATCCTACATCCTGGCCGCTCTCCACCAAATGTCTTCCAGCTTGTGCACATCTCCGTACTAAAGCAACCTAAACTGAATTTGCCAAGGATTTCAGGTGTAGTCTGACATGCCAAGAATGAGAATGGGACTGAGTCTTCCTTGGTTCTAGAGTCCCAGCTGCATCTTGGAACCAAGGTGAAGCTCTTTAGAAATCCAGACTCCTCACCTTCCTTTCCCTCTCCCCACCCACCCATTTCAGATCCTGATTCAGAGGGTCTGGGTGCAGCAAGGAATATGCAGTGTTACCAGAGCTTTGCAGGCGCAACTCTAATGTGTCATCAAGATGGAGAATCACTGGGCTCAGTACTCGACTTCAATGTGGCAGCTTAAGAGTCTGTCTGCTTTTATTGGCAGCTCTATCACTTGACTCATATGGAGCTGGCTGTCAGTGAAAACCCTCAGTTTTATTCACACATACTTCTGCTAAGCTGCCACTTCTCCATCCTGTCCTTGTATAGTCTATGCCTTGGAGCCAAGCCCAGATCTCTCAGATATGCCCTGTTCATCTCACCTTGTGAGGGTTAGGCTGTTGCTTCAGCAGGTTAGAATGTTTTTGGATCCTGAGTCTGTTTCTCAACATGTTTCCTGTCCTCACTGACTTCCTGCTATTCAGGAAATTGAGGGGCTTGTCCTCTGTGGCTTTGCCCAGGTCCTGATAAACAAGGTAGACCAGAACAGGAGTAAGTACAGAAGCAGTTAATCAATACTGAGGGCATTCCCTATGTGCAGTACACTGTGTCTGCCCTGAAAAGGACATCATCTAATTTATTTTCATCACACTTATAAAAACTGATCCATTTCACAGACAGATAAACAGAGGCAGAGAAGAAGAGTGATTATGTCCAAGAATACCATGCTGGTGTAAGAGCCAAGCCTTTCCTTCCATCTACAGCTCTCATCTCTAGGTTTGTCATCTCTCGGAGGAAAGGCAGGAGATAGAAGTGACAAGATTTGCCCTTGTGACTAGAAAAAGAGATTTTTTAGAGCTTGAAGGAATCTTAGAAATAATCAAAATGATCAAAATGGCAAGGCTCAGGTAACGTGCCAAGATCACACAGCAAACCTTCATGCTGGTTGGGACTAAAATCTGGGTTTCTTGAAGATGGACCCAGCGTTTGCTCAGCTACACTTCCAGGTACTTTTGATCCAAAATGGCACTTCAAAGGGAAACATACACAGGACTGATTCTTTTCTACTTCTAAGTCCCAGATGGTTCCTTCTATGGTTCTCAAGGGGCTTGAGATTGGAAGACAAGCAATGTCTTCCTCCTGGGCTTTTATAGAGAAATTTAGATTGCCTCTTATTCCCATCCTATGGGATTGGAACCTAGCACCTGCTACCCAGCTTTGCCCATGCCTCCACTTACACTCAGCTCTCAGCATGCAGAGGGTGGCTGGGTCTGGAGACATAGCTGGATGTACAGCTGGACAGCTCCTGGTCCTTCCCCTCGCACCTGCCTCATCAGCTGTGGGCATGTGGTGGTATAAAACTGGTAGAATGTTGGCACTTGTCCATGAGTTGAATCCCTGTGCTCATGACTTTATGAGGTCAGGCCACTTGAGGACTGCCTGCCTCAAGTCCACAGCCAGGAGCACCCCTAATTCAGCCTTCTCTGGGAAGGTGGGTTCAGCCCCAGGTCCACACAAACTGCAGAAAAAATCCAAAGAGCAAGTCAGCAAAGACAGTTGTGGAAAAAACAGCTTATATACTGAGGAAGAAGTAATAAGAAACTGCATTTCTCCTGTCAGTGTTGTTAATAAATAATAATAATAAAGTAATGATAATGATAATGCTATTGAGCTCATGTTCAGGCATTGTGTTAAGAACTTTACACCCATAGGGCCGGCCCGGTGGCACACTGCTACAGTGCACTGCTTGGGAGCGCGGCGGCGCTCCCGCCGAGGGTTCAGATCCCACATACAGACCGGTTCCCGCTCACTGGCTGAGCGAGGTGCGGACGCAGCACCGAGGGTTGCGATCCCGTTGCCGGTCCCGGTCCGGTACGGGCGCAACACTGAGGGTTGCGATCCGTTGCCAGACACGAAAAAAGACAAAAAGGAAAAAAAAAAAAAAGAACTTTACACCCATTATATTATTTAATCCTCACAACATTCCCATGAGGAAGTATTATCCTCATTCTATAGGTGAGAAAGTTGAGGCGAAGGAAGGTTAAATATCACAACCAACTGGTTAAATATTAAGCCAACTAGTAAGTGGCTGGGTTGGTACAGTAATGACTGTGACTGCCTGTGCCAGGCTGGGAAACAGATCCCAGAGGCTGCAATAGCTGAGCCATCTTCATTCCAAAAGCAAGCAAGCCCTTGGCCCAACAGGCCTTCACATTCCCGAACCCCACTGCTTCCTCAGGTTAGTCTTGGTATCAGGTAAGAACCCAACCTAATCTGACTCCCTTGTTTGGCTGGTGGCTATGGCATCTGAAAATCTGAGTTCAATTTCCACCATTCAACTTCTCTGATGAACAGGTTTTGAAACCAAAGCACGGGGTCCTCACACAAAACTGCCAAGTGAGCAAGTGAACTTGGGACCTGCCTCCTGGGCTCCAGCCCACAAGCATATTCCTGGGAGGCAGCACTGGGTTGAACAAAGTTCTTACCACTTTTATGGCCTCAGGCTCCCACATGCCAAACTCTCCAGCATGTGTGTTTCCATGGATCACAAATGTCACAAATCTACCAGCAACTTCCCTGAAAGTTTGCTTTCCCTGCATCTCCGCTCTTCCCCAGGAGGCACACACTTTCCAGTGCACCCAGCAGGGGGCATCCTCACCCTTCCACTGCCTGCCCTGGCCCTGGGGGTGAATTGGCACACCGCCTGGTGTGCCCTCTACCCAGCTCAGCCCAGGAGCCCAATGCCACATTTCCCAAACTGGGAATTCATGTGATTTCCCTGATTTTCCCCATATCCACTCTATTATTATGTACATAATATTTTTCTTTGTCAACTCATGTTTTAAAAAACCTAAATGTATTTTTAAAAGAAAAAAGCCCCCTTTGATGAAGGTTTTCCTAGCTTGCCTTGCTGCCTGGATTTCGTGCATTTTTAGAGCTGGCTTTGCAGGATGTCAGGATGTGTACAGGAGAGTACAAGCCCCCATTGAAGCTATAGTTGGTGTCTCAAGAATGGTCCAGGCAGTTTCCGTTCCTGGGTAAAGATGAGTGAGGATTTGTTCTGTGGATTTCAGTCCAAGACTGAAAGGACCAGAGTGAGGACTCCTGAAATCCTTGAAATGAGCACAGGTGCCTGTCCATGTCCCTCTCCAGGTTGAGGGACAGGGAAGGCTTGTCTTTCCAGGCCCAAAGTGGAAAGATGGCTGATGGCTGCAGGACAGTCAAGAGGGAGGGACTTGGGTGTGGGACCAGTGTGGCTGCAGGTGACAGGTGCGGAAGCTTTGGGAAGGGGAGGGATTTCCCTTGCAAAATCCATTCAAACAGATAGAGAGGGAACCTGATCCCAGGGAGGGAACCAGAACCTCAGGACCTACTAGAGGGGTTCACATAGGGACCCAAGGCTAGAGGGAGGGAGAGAGGAGAGATGAAAGACATTGAGGGCTTAGGGCAAGGGGAGGAGGATGAGTTCTGGACGCTCAGAGGAGTTCTCCAGCTATTTCCAGGAGGCTCAGTCAGGCCTTGCTCCAGGCTCCATCCCTCTGGTCTTAGAATTGCTTTTCTGGGGATTATTTTGTGTTGGGAATCCCCTGAGCTCCAGTCCCCACTGGGCAGCTTACTAAGTCTTAATTCTCGATGAAGAGTATTCTTCCTCCAGCCCCCACCAGACCAGCTGGCAGAGGCAGTTCTAGGGCTTGGGTGAGGGTCTCAGGGGTGGTGAGTTGTCAGGGGTGGTACAGAGACCCGTGGTGGGACGTGGGGCAGAAGGCCAGGCCCTAAGAGGGGAAGGAAGTCATGGGTAGAGTTTCCTGCCTCCCCGGTGATAAGAGGAGCAGGTTAGGCAAGAGGAAGTGGGCTAGGGCTGAGCTGGGCTGGACTGGACTCCCTGGAACTGGGGCAGTGTGAGGGGCCAGAGCTGAGCCCTCCCTGGAGCAGCCCTCCTGCCCCAAGGGCTCTCACCCTGGCCCCTGCGTGTGGAGCCAGAGCTGAGGGAGGGCGCCTGGGGGGAGAGCTCAGTGGGGGCTGGTGGCAAGGGGCTGCCCAGAGCTGAGCGGAGCAGCAGCTGGTCAGCGGGCCCAGAGGAGCAAGGCCCCTGGTGGGTGAGGCCAGATGGCCTCACTTGTGCCTCATTTTCATGGGAAGGAAACACAGAAAGAGGAGCTCGGTGTTCAGCAAACTTTGCTTATTCAAAACACACAATCCCAGCTGGCCATGTCTCCACCCCTGCCTCCCACCTCCAGGGTGGTCCAAGTCTCTGGGAACAGACTCCCCCACTGTGGACCCTACCCCTGTGGAGGCCCCTTCCCCTAGTGAGCTCCTTGTGCCCTCCCCTCAGTCCAGACAACAGTACCCCCGTAGTCTCCATATCGATCTTCTCCAGCCCCCCAGGCCAAATCTGACCACAGACGACCCCTGAGACCAAGAAGCCCTGTTTCTAAGGAGGAGAGGCCTCATGACCCGCCTGCCAGTGGTGAGCAGCACAGAGAAGGAAGCCCTGGGCCGGAAGTGCTGAGGAGCTGGTGGGGGTGGGGGCTTCCAGGAGGGGGCCGGCCCCCCTGGGCAGGAGCAGTGACACAGTCCCCCACTGAGGCAGGGTGGGAGGAGGCTGATTTACAAGGCAGATGAGCCTCTGGCCAGAGCTCTCAGACCCACGTTCAGCCGCTGCCACCCCGTGGGCTATAAGAGCACCCAGACTTCCGGACCGGCTCCGGACTGATGGCATGTGAGCCCAGCTTGGCTCCCCCTCCTGCCCGCCTCCTTCCTTCCCTCCTCCCGCTCATCTGTGTCTGCCTAGCCTCTGCAAGGAGGGACGCCTGGCACCATGTCTCTGCTCAACCCTGTCCTGCTGCCCCCCAAGGTGAAGGTCTATCTGAGCCAAGGCGAGCGCTTCATCAAATGGGATGATGTGAGTGGGGCAGGGGCCTTGGGCTGCTGGGGGACTTCGCCCAGATGGGAAGGTTGGTTTATACCTCCTAGGACCCAGGCACCTGTGAATCTTGCCAGGCAGCTGACACCATTGTCCAGAAAAACAAACCTGGGCTGCTGGTTCTAAGCCTCTGTGTTGAGGTGTGAGAAGGGGTGGGCCTCCTGGGTGGTCACAGGAGGTAGTATTTTTGGGTCTGGATCTGTCCTCCCTCAAAGCCCCCAAGAAGAACAGGGAATTGTTGCTCCTGGCTTCAGCATTGGTGGGAGGAAAGCACGTCCCAGAGCTGAGGTGGGGCCAGAAGGAGAGGTGAGCTCCCAGCACAGACACTCTGCTTTTGCTCCAGCAGGGTGCCTAGACCCAGCTCCTTCTCCCCTCCCCACTGGGCACTGGCCAGGGAAGCCCAGCTCTCCCCTGAGCTGCTGTCGGGGAAGCCGCAAAAGCCCCCTGGATCCAAGTGAGAACTGGAGGCTTTTGCTCCTGGGCCTGGGCAGCGCTGACTTCTGCTTCCCCTTGCTGGGCTCAGCCTTGTCCCCTGACGCCTGCCTGTCTGCAGAAGGGAAGGCACGGTTTCGCCCTGCACCCATCTCTGCTGTGTCTGCTCCTTCCTAAACTGGGGCCTCTTCCCAGCTCCTGGTCCTGCTGGACCCTGAAAATGTTGCCATAGGTCAGGAATTCTCTTGGGTCAGGGAAAAGAACAATTTGGGGGACCCTGCCTGAAGGAGGCTTCCGGGTTGGCCCAGCATGAGAGTCAGAGTGCTGGGCTTGTCCCAGGAAGAGAAACGGAGGCTTGGTGGGGAAGGGGAGAGGGCCCCTGGGGCTAGCTTGTCCAGCCTGTGGATCGGATGAGTGGCTGGGCTAGGCTGAGGAGTCTGGTTGCCATGACTATGGGGAGGAGACTCTGTGGCAAGAGCTTCCTGCTTCCCTAGGAGTCATGGGATCTGTCTGACATGGTGGTAGCATGGAGGTGGCATGTCCCAGGAGCCTGTGGAATTAGGGAAGTGGCTCAGAATGAAAAGTGAAGTGGCCTCTCTCAGTTCCTCTGAGCAATGTGTATAACCTAACTGGTTAGAGGGTCACCAGGGGTGAGGACATGCTCTGTGACCTTCTCCCCAAGCTAGCGCCCGTTTACCTGGCTGCCCCTTCCCCTTCCCAGGGTAGGGCACTGCCTGTTCCCTGGATCCTGACTCTCAGGAATGTCCCAAGCCTCGTCACAGGGCACATGCACCTGTGAGACAGGGCTCTGCTCTCAGACTGCTCTTGGTCCAGTTAGCAGGTGATGCAAGTGAGTCATGCTACATTAAATAAGCACAGTGCATGGGATGCAGTTAAATCCCAATTTTAATTAGTCTCCCACAGCCCCTTTACAATGTATTTGGTGGGAGAAGTTACCCTTCTGGCCACCTGTGAGACAGGGCTCTGCTCTCAGACTGCTCTTGGTCCAGTTAGCAGGTGATGCAAGTGTGTCATGCTACATTAAATAAGCACAGTGCATGGGATGCAATTAAATCCCAATTTTAGTTAGTCTCCCACAGCCCCTTTACAATGTATTTGGTGGGAGAAGTTACCCTTCTGGCCATGGAAAGACACTCAGCAAGCCACAAGACACTACCTTGACTCTTGGGTAATAGTCCAATGGCCACTTTTCATCACAAAACCCTGTTTCAGAAACTATTTATAATAAAAACTCCAGCCTTAAGTTAGAATTACATCTTCTGCCCTTCTCCCTCTAGGAATGGCTTCGGGTGGGCTGCAGACCCTGTAGAAAGGGCCTGTGATGGGATTCCCTGCTTGTCCTCCTCCAGGCCCCTCTAGGGATGGGCTGCAGGGAGGGAGGTGGGAAGACAAAACTTTGAGGTAATAAAGTTTTTCTGGAATAGGTGCTGTCATAAACTGGCTCATGCTTTCTGAGCCTGGCAAAAGCTTAGAAGCTTATTCTTTCTCTGGTGGATATTTTTGAGGATTCTTGGGAGACCCTCCCCCTCAGCTGGGGATCTCTTTCTTGAGGTCTCCCTGACATCTCTATTTCAGGCGGTCACTCATTATTACTTCTTTGGCCCCTTGTTACCACTTTCAGCTTCCTGTGGCTTTGGACCCTTTGCCCCTCTCCCTCCCATGGGCCCACTCCAGACCTCAGCAAATACTCATGCATTTGCTGTCCCAACACACTCTGGGGTGCAGCTCATCCAACACACTAGCATCTCTGCTCTGCTTTGCACAGAGTCAGCCCATCTGTTGCCCACTCGGTTTCCTGGGTAGGAGTCCGACCCCAGTCTGTCATGCCCCACAACTGCAGGGATCACAAAAGCTCTCCAGGTAGAGCTGAATCCTCTCACTAGGCTTAAGGTTGTGGAATCAGTCACCCCCAACCCTCCCTTGGGGACGGAAGGGAACAGAGCTCACAACACAGCTTTCTTCAAAATTGGCTTCTTCACAAAATCTTCTTTCCCCCCGTACTCTAACCACCTCTGATCTGAGAAGCTTTTTTTGATCATTTTCTTTGTAAATTCTGCTGTTGGTCTGGTTTGCTATGCAGCAACTATCAAGCCTTGTTGGCAACTTCAATTTTAATGTCTTGTTGTATACACATATAAAGACCCTTAAAATAAAAGGTAGACTATGTGCTCTGTGAGCTGTTGGTCTGGTTTGCTATGCAGCAACTATCAAGCCTTGTTGGCAACTTCAATTTTAATGCCTTGTTATATACACATATAAAGACCCTTAAAATAAAAGGTAGACTATGTGTTCTGTGAGTGGAATGGGAATTTAGAAAGTGAGTCATTCATTGGTTCATCTGCTTGTTCAGCAAACACCAAGCTCAAGCACTAAGCACCAAGCTCACGGTCTAGCATAGGCTTGCTGCCCTGGGGTCCATGAGCCCCTGGGGACTTCCTGAGCGGGCTTCTAGGTCTATCAACAAGCCTGTGCTGCCCCCTCCCCGCCACTCCCCATTGTTACAGCATGTTTCAAGAGAGGCTTTTCAGAAATAATAAGGCTTGGGCTAGAACTTGAAGGTATTTCAGGCAGAGAAGACTTGGGTGCTCAGGTCTGGAGGTGGGAAGGCACTTGGTATGTTTACAGGACTGTTGGATGGATGGGGTGGGGCGTTCATGGAGGGGAGGACAGGGCACGTGGGAAGTTAGGTTGTGGCTGGATTGTGCTGGGCCTTGGATGCAGGTGCGGGAGTTTGGGCTCTCAGCTCTTGACATGTCTAGCTCTCCTGGGTGGAAGCAGGGAGAGACATTTTATCCCTTTGGTTGAGCCATGACCCTTGAGAACAGGCTGAGGTGGGGACCAAGTCCCTGCTTGCGGTCCAGAGGGAGAACCTCTATTTGGAGTTTAGAGGAAAAACCTCTTCTCTTCCAGAAATGGCATCTCTAATCCTCTATACCTCCCAGCTCTTAACTCTAGATAACAGGGAGATGCCTTCAGACTACTGGGACGGGAACATCCCAGGAAGAGGATGAACTCTGAGAGCCCTGGCCTGGACAAGGGAAGGTTGGCCTGAGGTCTCAGAACAGAGAGCTGACCCCTTCTCTCTGCAGGAAACTACAATAGCCTCTCCAGTTATCCTCCGTGTGGACCCCAAGGGCTATTATTTATACTGGACATATCAGAGTAAGGTGAGACAGCCCCTCCCCACCACGGCCCAGAGCTCCTGCTTAGCCATTGACTCCAGGCAGCCTCCGGGCAGTGCGGGGGTGGAGGCGCAGCTGCTGGGGAGTAGAAAATGACCTGGAAGGGTGTTTCTGGGGGCTCTCCTGTGGGCAGGGGCTGTTTGCTCTGGGAGGGAGGATGCAGTCACTCCAACCCATGGTTGCCTCAGGCCCAGATACTCTAGCCTTAGCATCCCTTGGAAGGTGAGAGAAAGGAACAAGAGCTGTTGCTGAAGGGTGATTCTCTGCCTGTGACTATGGGCTAACTTGAGGTCTCAGAAAGATCAGAGAAAGGCCTCAGCAGCGAGGCAGAAGGAAGGGAAGGGGCACCTGGGGAGAGTCCAGGATGGTGGAGGAGATAGCGCAGGCCACAGCCCCTGTGCCAGGAAAGGAATGGGCAGAGAGCAAGGGCGGAGGATCATGAGCAGGGAGAACCTGACTCGTGAGAAGGGAAGGTGGGGGTCCAGGCAGCCCCAGTCAGTCTTGGCATCTAACAGGGGCAGTCGGCCAAGGTTTGAAGGGGTGTGGAAGCTCCCTTCTCCTTGTTCTTCATTCTCGACCTGACCTTTTTATCCCACATATCCTCCTTGCTCCCACTGGGAGCCCCCCCTCCAGGAGATGGAGTTTCTGGATATCACCAGCATCCGGGACACCCGCTTTGGGAAGTTTGCCAAGATACCCAAGGTAGGGATGCCCAGTAGCAGCCCAGGCTCAGTGTGGTCACCAGCTCCATGAGGCAGGGGCAGCAGTCCCTGTGGGTGCAGGAAGCCTGATCTCTAGAACAAGGGGTTTCTGGGCTGGGCAGCAAGGATCTGGCACAGGGAATTGAGAATCTGGGAGGAGGCCAGCTCCTGCCCCTGGAGCACCTGAGACTGTCTGGGAGGTGTTGCTTACACCCCCACCCCCGGACTGGTTTGCCTACATTTGCCTAATGCTGGTAGGAAAATTGGAGGAAGGGACTGGTGGGAAGCAGGATTCCCTGAGTCTGGGAGCTAAGAATCCATGTTCAAACAAAACTGACAAACAAAATACACAGGACTCCCAGGCCCCACCGCCCTGATTAATCTCTTCCTGTGGGCCTCTCCTCCCCACTCCAGCCCCTGGAGTCAGAGATGCGGCGATGCTAGGCCTGTGCTTCCTAGGGTGTAGATGATGGGATTCTGCTCTAGTGGGCCACAGTTCAAGTGGCTGAGGGGAAGGACAGGGGAGGCCACATTGGACAGGGAGGCAGCACACCTCTGATTCTAATCATGTAACCACTTGCTGCAGAGCCAGAAGCTCCGGGATGTCTTCAACTTGGACTTTCCTGATAACAACTTCCTGCTGAAGACACTCACGGTGGTGTCTGGACCCGACATGGTGGACCTCACCTTCCACAACTTTGTCTCCTACAAGGAGAACGTGGGCAAGGTGCACAGGGGGCATCTGGCCTGCCTCTTGGCACCTGGGATATCCTGGACTTGCCAAGAGACACAGGTCTGGGAGGCAGGGTGGTTGGGGGCACCCTTGTGGTCAGAAGCCTGACCACTGTTCTCTGTGGTCCTGCAGGACTGGGCTCAGGATATACTGGCCCTGGTTAAGCACCCGCTGACGGCCAATGCCCCCCGCTGCACCTTCCTGGACAAAATGTAAGTGCCTTCATGGTCTAAGCCCATGGAGCAAGCGTGCCAGACCCAGGGCCATGACAGGCTGCTTTCTGCCCTTCCAGCCTGGTGAAGCTCCAGATGCAGCTCAATCCTGAAGGGAAGATTCCTGTGAAGAAGTGAGTCCCTCCAACTCCCACCCCATACTTTCTCCCAGCTCCCTGAAGCTCCCCGAAGCCTCCCCTCTCCAGGCCTGACTCCCATTTCTGCCTGCCACCTTTCTCTGCCCCTTCAGCTTTTTTCAGATGTTTCCTGCTGACCGCAAGCGCGTGGAAGCTGCTCTCAGTGCCTGCCATCTCGCAAAAGGCAAGGTGAGCAGTTCCCCACTCCTCATCCACCCCCAGTATTCTTACTCCCACCTGAGCTGGCTGTTACAGAGAGCAACTTGGCCAGGAATGGTGGTAGGTGGGGAGGGTGGAAATGACATCACAGTCCCAGTCAATAGCCCACAAGCCAATTAACTCCAGAGCCACTGGTTACTGATACCAGGCACAGAGGTGGAACCAGGGCAAGGGGGTGAGATGCTGGGTTCAGAGCAGGTCAGTCTGCATCCTGCACCCCTGGGTGGTGGTGGGGCTGGGCGCAGTGGTCGGTGGACTGTGCTCAGACCAGCAGCAGAAATGGTGTGCGTTCCCATTCTAGCCTTGGGAATGGAAGTTGAGAGTGAATGTTTTCAGCCTGGAGGAGTGAGGTAAGGTCAGCAGGGACAGGAGGCAGTCTGCAGGGATCTGAAAGCAGCAGGAAGGGACCAGTTCCACAGGGCCTGGGGGAGAGGAACAGAAACAAGAGTGGAAGCTTCCAGGATGCAGACTTCCGCTCACTACAGAAAAGCATTTTCTCCCTTTCTTCTCAGTGAAGTAATTAATTTTTCATTACAACTTGTAAGCATGGCCACCCCATGAGGGGCCTTTTGTGAATGATAAATAGGAGCCCGCTGGGCAGGTATGGCCCTGAGCCAGGGCCAGTGCCCTTGTGTAGGTCCCAGCCTGCCTCCATGGAGTATTTCTCCTGGCAAGAATTTGGAACATTATAAATAAATGAAACTAAGACCTTGTTGATCACCTGTCCACATGAAGGAGGAACATTCGCCCTGCAGTCACAGCCCTACAGAGTTGGCGACCCCCCGATGCAGGCCAGTCACAGGGGTTTCAGGCATGGGGTGAGGAGGGGAGGAGCGAGTTCTGCTGTGGTCCCTCCAGCCAGCACTCTTGCCTGTTGTCAGCACACACCCACCCTCCTTTTCTCCTGCCTCCTAAGCTCCCCCTGGACTATGTTCTCCTTATTTACCTGCTCTCCCAGCAGAAATCACTGACCCATCTTTGCTTGGGGCTGCAGCTGCAGAGGAAGAGAAGGGTTGGGGGAGATCCAGCCAGGCTCTCCTGCTCAGACTCTCTAAACTGAGACTGATGTTGGCTGTCCAGTGTGATCCTGAAAGACATTTAACAGTTTTGAGGGGGGATGGAATGCAAAGGCACAGAATCCCTCAATACCACTAATCTACTTCCTGTTTCTATTGCTATAGATTTGCTTATTCTGGACATTTCATGTAAATCGAGTCATACAATATGTATGCACAAAAGTAATTTTGATGAAGTCCAATTTAACTTTTTTTGTCCCTTGTACTTTTGTTGTCTCTGATTATTATTATTATTATTTTGACTGGTAAGGGGATTGTAACCCCTGGTTCCGTGTTGTCTGCACTACGCTCAGCCAGTGAGTGCACCAGCCATCCCTATATAGGATCTGAACCCGCGGCCTCGGCGCTACCAGCGCCGCACTCTCCCGAGTGAGCCACGGGGCCGGCCCTCTGATTATTATTTTTGAATTGTCTATTTCTCCCTTTAATTCTGTCCATTTTTGCTTCTCACATTTTGCTTACATTTTTGAATATTTACAATATTCAAATTGCTTCTTTCTGAAAATTTGCCCTCCACTTAAAAAAAAAAGTCAGCCCACTGCCGTGGCAAGCAACACTCCTTACTTCTGACCTCTTTTCCTCCTCCTTCTGCTTATTCTTAGTTCCAACCCTGACTCAGCCAAGGGACCAGCCATTGTCCCAAATCAGGGTCAAAGCTGACCAGCTAAGCATGCTCTCTGCTTGGCAAGCAGGGCCTTGACAAGTGGGTGCTCAGGGTGTCCTTGATGCTCCTCTGCCTTGAGCTTCCCTCTGACTGGGTCCCCTTGCCCAGGGCTGGGCCTAGCTTGTGGTTCTTAGTTCTGAGAAGGTAAGGGCAGGGGTGATAAGGTGACTATTCCCTCAGAATGATGCCATCAATCCTGAGGACTTCCCAGAATCTGTCTACAAGAGTTTCCTCATGAACCTCTGTCCTCGGCCGGAAATAGATGAGATCTTCACTTCCTAGTGAGCTTCTTGGGCTGGGCTGGACATGGGGAAGGGGTGGTGGCTAGCAGTCCCTCTTCACACCTGCCATGCTGGCAATCAGGAGGCTTCACTGGAGAAGGGGGTTGTCTGGGCCTCCAGGCACAAAGACAGGAACCAGTGCTCCTCTCTCTGCCTGCAGCCACGCTAAGGCCAAACCGTACATGACCAAGGAGCACCTGACCAAATTCATCAACCAGAAACAGCGGGACTCACGGCTCAACTCACTGCTGTTCCCACCAGCACGGCCTGACCAGGTGCAGGGACTCATCGAAAAGTATGAGCCCAGTGGCATCAACGTGCAGAGGGGTGAGGACTAAGGGAAGCCCTCAGTCACCATGGTCCTGTCCTGCCCTGGCAGCCGGGCTGCAGCCCTGACAGACATCCCTGGTTCCCCAGGCCAGCTGTCACCCGAGGGCATGGTCTGGTTTCTCTGTGGGCCAGAGAACAGCGTGCTGGCCCAGGAGAAGCTGCTGCTCCACCACGACATGACGCAGCCACTCAATCACTACTTCATCAACTCCTCACACAACACCTACCTGACAGGTGGGCTCTGGCACCTCATTGATGACCGCTCCTGCACCCTGAGTCCTCCGCAGGGGCTGCCCACATGCTGAGACCTTGCCAACAGTCCAGACCGTGATGGGGGGTGGGCGGCGCTGGACCGCCCTTGACTGATGTCCCAGCCCTCCCTCTGCTCCCGCTCAGCTGGCCAGTTCTCAGGCCTTTCTTCGGCTGAGATGTACCGGCAGGTGCTGCTGGCCGGCTGCCGTTGCGTGGAGCTAGACTGCTGGAAGGGGAAGCCCCCTGACGAGGAGCCCATCATCACCCATGGCTTCACCATGACCACAGACATCTTCTTCAAGGTGAGACTCTGGGTGTGGAGGCTGGGGGCAGTGACAGCAGGGAAGGGCCCTGGGCCAGAATTTTTGGGGGGTTGGGAGGAGTGAAACTAGAGGGGAGGAATAGCTAGAAGGCCTAGACTGGTGTGGGGAGTAGAGAGGATAGAGGGGATGGGGGCCAACAGTGACCATCCAGTTTTACGTGTGTATTGCAGCTGGGGAGTGGGGAAAGTTGCCGTCCAGGGAGGGGCACTCGAAGTATTAGCTTCCTCTCCACTGAGTCCCCTTCTCCTCCAGGAAGCAATTGAAGCTATTGCAGAAAGTGCCTTTAAGACCTCCCCCTATCCTGTCATCCTGTCATTTGAAAATCACGTGGACTCGTGCGTATCCAGGCCTTATTATTCACCTGGTCCCCAGTGTCCTTCCTGCAACTGTCCTCCCCGCACTGTCCCCAGCCTCTAGCCATCCCCTCCAGCTCTCTCCCAGGTCTCAATACAATCTCCTTGGGATTCCAGTTCTCCTGCCTGTGTCCGTGCCTCCCCAACCCCTCAGGCTCCTGATCTGGATCATCAAGGGCACAGAAGATGGATGAGAGGGTTGGGGCTGAGCTGCTGAGCCCTACCCCCACTTTTGCTCCCTGCAGTCCCCGCCAACAGGCTAAGATGGCTGAGTACTGCCGGATGATATTTGGGGACATGCTGCTCACAGAGCCCCTGGAAAAGTTTCCAGTGAGTGGTCTTTCCTGTGGGACATCTGGGCCTGGGGGCTGGGGTTATGGGACAGGGTGTGGACCAGGTTAGGGAGGGGGATGTCCCCAGAGAATGTGAGGATCATTTGGTTGGATTGTGGGGCTGGTATCCTGTTACTTACCATGTGTCAGGCCTGTGCTGGGCTTTGGGGCATGTTAGTGACTAACAAAGACATAGTCCCAACTGTCCTCCCCGCACTGTCCCCAGCCTCTAGCCATCCCCTCCAGCTCTCTCCCAGGTCTCAATACAATCTCCTTGGGATTCCAGTTCTCCTGCCTGTGTCCGTGCCTCCCCAACCCCTCAGGCTCCTGATCTGGATCATCAAGGGCACAGAAGATGGATGAGAGGGTTGGGGCTGAGCTGCTGAGCCCTACCCCCACTTTTGCTCCCTGCAGTCCCCGCCAACAGGCTAAGATGGCTGAGTACTGCCGGATGATATTTGGGGACATGCTGCTCACAGAGCCCCTGGAAAAGTTTCCAGTGAGTGGTCTTTCCTGTGGGACATCTGGGCCTGGGGGCTGGGGTTATGGGACAGGGTGTGGACCAGGTTAGGGAGGGGAATGTCCCCAGAGAATGTGAGGATCATTTGGTTGGATTGTGGGGCTGGTATCCTGTCACTTACCATGTGTCAGGCCTGTGCTGGGCTTTGGGGCATGTTAGTGACTAACAAAGACATAGTCCTTGCCCTCAGATTTGTTACCCTCTAGTGAAGAGACAGACAAGTAACCAGGCCATTACAACCC